GCTTTGATAATCGTCTTCCCTATCTCTTGATCAAGACCATAGATCATATTAACTGTAGCTGCAGCTTTTTTCAATACGCCAAATGCCTTTATTAAGGGATCAGGCATACGCTCTGTCGGTCCACCGATGTCAAAGTTTTGTAGAGACCTAGAATATTGTGATTTGTTTATATACTTGATTTTGAATTGTCAATTATCAATGATAGGGAATTATAACATGCCTCTGTGTTTGAGCACCCCAGTAACGGTCCGCGGGCACTTCAATTTCACCGAAAGTGTCTTTTTCAATTCTATATTTTTGCTGGTCCGACATGATATTTAAAAAAAAGCCAAAAAACAGAAAACAGATTAAGTGAGATGTGTGGGATCATTATAGACCTCGTTCACGTGATTTATGTAGTACGCATTTAGTTTGTTGTCATTAAATAGAACTCTCGAGAATTAATTTACCATTTGGGGTGATGCGATACTTAATTGACGAAAATGTAGGCGGGGTACCTTTAAAATGTCGGATTAATAGAATTGAATTTATGTGAAACAAAAAAGCTTTCTCGTAAACAATAAAACAAAGATTAAACGTACAGAAGTAATTTGCGCACATGAAAATCTCAGGTTCCTCAGTAACATCCTTAATTGATGAACAATGCGTTTTTTTTAATCTTTCTGATATGATATCAGTTAAGATTTTTTGCACAATGAAAAAGCGACAACAAACAAATTTATTGGCAGATCATAAAATCACGTGACACTTGCATTTATATGCAAAATCGATAATCAAAATTGTTTGTTCATCAAACTTCTTTAAGGATGAGTAGTGGATCACGAAATCGCTATGGGAGACGTTCTTCATATCACCGTCCACACCAAACACAACCATACGTTCAACAGCATTACAGCCAAGAGCACAGAGGTGAGCAAATTCCCAATTCCTTTTTTTCACCAAGGAATGTTATTAATGACCCTTTCCTGAACGCAGATTCAATAAAACTTTCTCGCGTAAACCAACTACTTTCTCGGATACGCGATGAGAATGAGTCAGTGTATGCTAGGCGCACTGCACACGTTAATCAGCTTGTCTCTTTGTTAGGAGAACCTTCTACTCCATCGGACAAAACGTAGATTTT